ATAAACGTTATTCATCTATTAATGAAACAAATTATAATTCAAATATAAATTTAACATTGTTTTCTTCTAAATCAATGCCATTTAGTCACTATTGTGATACATTTTGGGATTTAAAATTTGGTTTTGATGAAATATCATTTTTATGTAAAGAATGGATATGTCCAAGTAATTATTATCGATGTTTAAACGGACAATGTATTCCAATACAATGGATTTGTGATGGTGAATGGGATTGTAATGATGCAAGTGATGAAGAACGTTTATTATCAATAACGAAACTTTCACAACATAATTCTAAAATAATCAATTTATCTGAAATGAAACTTAAATGCAAAAACCAATATCAAATTCGACCATTTTCACAATTATGCACAGTATTAGAATATCCATGTTTGTTAGCTAATGTAACAGATCCACTTAATTTTATTAAAAATCCTCCATGTATACCAATTGAGAAAATAGGTGACGGAATATCTGATTGTTATGGTGGATTAGATGAACGAAATATTCGTAGTTGTAATTCAGGACGAATGATGGGTTTTCATTTTCAATGTCTAACTAATAACTTTGGAAACTATCCAGGTGGTGATTGTATTCTATATCATGATCGATGCGATCATCGTTGTTTAAATGGTGAAGATAAAATTTTATGTTTTTATTTAAAAAATAATTCAAAAATTCGTTGTGATGGTTCATCAGTCAATCAATTCGAATCATATACAGATGTTCATTGTCTTAATGGTACATGTATACCAAATGCTAGATGTAATAATATTTATGAATGTTCCTTTGGTGAAGATGAATATTACTGTGATAGAAAATATGCAATGTTTCAACCATATCGAAATGGTAAAGCTCGTCATTCAAATAATACTTATCAAACAATTAATTTAGGAAATTATCCAGAAGAAACCTATCAATTTATACGAGATGAAAATGATTACAAAGATAAAGATTCTCTTTTTCGAACATCATCTCATTTATCCTTTATTTTTCATAAAATAAAGTCACATAAAATTTCATCATCATTTCAAATTAACACCTTTACTGATAATACTTATAAATATTATGATGAAAATAATAAGATACAGATATATTTAAATACGGAAGAATATATAATAGCTCAATCAATTGAATCATGGACATGTAATCGAGGAATTGCAATTAAAAAACAATTTGATAAATCTTTTGATACTATAATCGAATGTTTTTGTCCAGCAAGTTATTACGGACGATTTTGTCAATATTTTAGTGATCGTATAACAATAATAACATATTTAGATGGTTTAAAATATATTTATAGAGATGATCAACAATTAATGAACAATACAATTAAAATTTTAGTTAAATTGATTTTTAATGAAAGTATTATTGTTGATTATAACGAAATTCATTTTACACCAATTTTAAATAATTTAAATGAAAAAAGGAGTTGAATGGAAATCAAAATTATATTTTATAGAAAAGAAACCTAAAATTTAGAATTATGATTTATTAATTATGATAAAATAAAATACAACCAAAAAAAATTTTTATTTTTTTTTTTTTTTGTTTTTTCAATATCAACCACAAAAAGAATCAAGTTTTCAAA